CCTTACATTGCCAACTTAGATGCTAACGGCAATTCTTATTACAAGCCGTGAAATATTTTGGCTCATCAGAAACTGGGCTAATGTACCGCCATAATGGAAAACTTCCGCCCTTAAGGGTAATATTTGACCCTGCAACTCGACTAGACATCCTGACTCAAGCACATGAAGATCTTGGTCATAGGAAACTTGAAGCTACTTATGAGACCTTACGCTGCCATGTCTTTTCGCCACATATCCATGCTGATATACAACACCACATTAATTCATGTCACGAATGCCAAATCAGGAGTCTTAAATGGAAGGAAGTCCCAATTACCGTCTCAGTACCCACCACACTTTTTTCAATAAGCTTTACATTGATGTCATGTACATGCCAAAAGCTCAAGGGTTTAAATATTGTAGCAACACGAGATGATCTTACTGGTGTCTGTGAAGCCCAACCTTGAAATCCCTCACTGCACGTACTCTTTCTATGTTTTTCTGGAAGTACATATACTGCAGGTATGGCATCCCAGTTCAAGTCACTAGAGATAATGGATCTGAAGTTAAGGCAGGATTTACGCTCCTTATGCAACATTTAGGAGTACCACATGTACAAATCTCGCCTTACAACAAACATGCAAATGGTGTAGTCGAACGAGGTCATTTCACTCTAAGAGAAGCTTTAGTCAAAGCTTGTCACGGACGAATTAACAAATGGCCAGACCTACTCCCAGAAGTTGTATTTGCTGACCGAATTACAGTCAGTAAGGTTATGAAATTTTCACCATATCAATTACTGCATGCAACTGACCCAATTCTGCCATTCAACTTAACTGAGGCCACCTTCATGGTGGAAGGATCCCATTCTGGGATGACCACAGCTGAACTGCTTGCTTTATGCGTGCACCAACCATTTAACACTGTGAGCATTGCATCATTTGATCATGGGGTTATACTGAACATATGCTGATCTTATTTTAAGTATGATCAGCATATGTTCAGTGATGAGTCATATGTTCAGAATATGTTCAGTCATGCTAGCAGGGATTTTGGGCCAATATAGTCTTGTCATGACTAAAGATAATAGTCATGACTCCAAGTTGTATGAGAAATAGTAATTCTCAGGCACAGATGAACAGTCATGAAGAAGGAAAGAGTTGCGACTACAGAAATAGACCTTCAGGTAATCTCCGAGAGTGTGATCACATGTCAGATGGTGAACCAGTTGACTAGGTGAGTCAATCTGAGGATTCCCGATGAAGTCCAAGAAGATCCAAAGATCTGATCAAACATTCACATGACAGATGTGGTTGTCATGATTAGGTCGAAAGCATGCAATATAGCGTCAAGGTGGTCTAGATCGCTCCGGATCTTGCCTTGACTAAAGATAGATGACTCTGAAAGCTCTCCGGAACTTTTGGAACTACTCTATACAGTCAGGATTGATTCCTATAGGCTACAGGCCGCAGATCTCTGATCAAACACGGTTGATAGATGGATAAAAGGACCATATACCTCATTTCTGTTACTCATTTTCCTTATCTGGCATGTACTAAAATAGATTGTAAACTAGTATAAAAGCAACGTAGAATAACACAATTCTGGACTGTATTTTCCTCCCAGCTACTATAGCTGTGACTATTGTTGTCATTGGTTGTGGGTCACGGGGTTAGTGCATGTCTGGGTTTTATGCGGAGATTTGTTTAAACACATTTTGAAGTTGTACTACTTTTAGCAGAAATGTATATAGAACCAGAACATAGTTGTTTGATAACCAAAGTCCCAGCAAAGTAAGCTGAATAAGAAAGTCATAAGAAACAGTCAAGTCTGTACCTAAGTGGTCTTTTAAGAGTTGCGACTAAAGAAGTAAAGTCTAAGACGGTCTCAAGTGACCTAAAGTTCAGTCCAAGTGTGGCTTAAGTTGTCGGAGTTGTTCAAGTACACTTGCGACTGTGTTTCATTTCCATCCAAACACCCCAAAGATAGTGTTTCTCTTGTGAGAGACTTCAGTCAAGGTTCTTGAGTAATACTCGCGAATATTCCCAAGGGCACAATTAGATTTATAGTCATTTATTGCAACTGTCTACGGTTCATCTTACTCAATTCTGATTGAGGGGACCCTAGTTATAGAAGCACCAATATAGTCAAGTAGTAGTAGTGTATGTGTGTGTTGGTGTAGTTCATTTTGTGTGCGTCTTGCACATATCTTGAGATTGCACTTTTCACGACTATACTTGAATGCACCATTTCATTGTGGAGGAGCATACATTCTCTACGAATTGGACGGCACACCCTACCCAGAAAATAATGTGGCTGCATTCTGACTACTGCCCTACATTACACGCGACCATTGGTTTATGAAATGAGACTGGTTGGGAGATGATGACAAAGAAGACTGAATTGTATTGGCCAGATCTGAGAATGACAAGCAAGCCAGATCAGGACCACCTAACTTTAGCTTTGTCTTATTAACCCACATGACCTTTCTTCTTTTCCACCATGCCCACTCCCCCGCCCCATGGGCTGCATATTGCACTACCAACTGCTCCGCTGGGCCCGCAAACAGATTGACCAAGGAGTTTATTTCTATAATGGAGACGGTGGCTGTGAACAACGAGCTTTGTCCTACGCTCTTCAGGAACAAATACCCACCATTTTTCCATCACACCGTAGCCACTCTCGTTCCTCAGCTGACCTGCCTTCCCCCACTGCTTCAATCATCAGCGAACTCGAATTTGCTCCAGAGTACACCAGCCAGCACCATTGCCACCCCTTTTCTACAGCACCTACTCCCATTTGCGACTACCAAGGATGACTATTGATTCATGTCGCTCTGTGCGACCGTGTAGCATTACAGGAACCACCCATACTGTTCTGCACTACGCTATCATCACTCCGAATGAGTGCCAGTGTATTGAAAAGGACGATGAAATCCTCCTCATTGCACTCAGGCACTGTCCTCATTGTAAAGGCCGCTTACAACCATGGCTGCACCAGCTGCCTCCCATTCTGCAACATAATCAAATGTTTTCATATTCTGCCCCACTCCTGCTTGCATCATCCTTCTTGCTGCCATCATGCTCATTCACGAGAGCTTCCTCCCTGAGTTTGTCCCTAATTCTCTCTACCTGGGCAGCTTGAACTCTAGTGAAGTCATTGAGGAGCAGGAGTACAACTGCATTGCACATGAAGGAGTTATAGGATGCACTTAGTATCGAGCAGGAGCTGGATCTTATCCAGAACATATACGCTTGGACCCCAAAATTTCTGATATTACTGAAGAGGAGGAGGAAGAGCCAGGACAATTTGACGATTAGTTTTACTTAGCCCACAGTCAGCACAACCTCTTTGTAAAAATTTCGATGTTTTTGGAGAATCTCAGCAGAATTCCAGAATTGATCAAACTTTAATTGAGTCCAATTGCGGAATGCTCCGAATACATTAGAGATCACACTGTCATCGAAAAGAGGGTCGCATTGACTTGAACTTCGCTGCTCTGCTCATGCCCATTACAATATGGCCAACCCCAGAAAATGAGGCTGCCACCTATTTTCTCTGGAAGGTCTCACACCATTCTTTCTTCTCTCCACTACCACACCTCTTGTCGCTCTCGTTCGACTGCAATGAATGAGTTCATCTTCTACCGCAACCAGATCCCGCTGGCCATGCCACTCAACCCAGAGGGGTTTCCTGAGGAACCTCCGAAGAATATGTGGAAGCAGGATAACGACCTGCCCCACTGGACTCTCTACTCCTTGTATCCAATTGTCATGCCAGATGACCTGCAGTTGCTCCAGCCTGATGGGCGGACCCCTGCCTACCCGGTAGAACCGTGCACGTGTGGGTATATATATTAATATGGATTCAAATATAATATAGATTCAAATATAATATGGGTTCACACAGCGATGAATGGAGAATTAATTATATTGAAACATTAAAGAAGACTATGTCAATTGTTACTCAAACATTGGGGGAGCAACGACAATCAAGCTGTGCACCTGACCATAAATAAGTGCACTGATAATGTTGGAGTGCAGGCGTTTTGGGGAGCGGGGTCAGCGCAGTGGCAGTGGGAGGGCATACACCAGGCATGCATAGAGTGGGGTCATAGTACAGTCCAGTGACGATGGCTTCTTGCTTGATCTTGCAGGCTTGTAGCTTTTGTGGCCTTGACTTGAGGCTGCGGGCAAGAATTCATGAGGCTTTTGAGGAGAACTTGAGCTTGAAGCTTGAGTACGCCACTCTGGGGAAGAAACAAAGATGAATCTTGTGACGTTGCCATGTTATTGGGTCAAGCAGAGCGAATGAACGATGCGGGGAGTGGGGAAGGGCAGGAGACACGGCAGTTGAGAGTTTGTCCTAAGAACAGGGGCAAAGCGGCACTGGGGGAGGAGGATGAAGAGAATGGTGGTGGTGGATGGTGGGCAAGATGGTGGGAGAAAGGAAGGAATGGGACGACTTTCGTTGACAACGGTTTGACATTTGGTTGATGTGATCGGACTTGAGCGGACTTTGAATGACTGCGCTTCTTTTTTGGGGAATCTCGGACTCTTCCGCAACGCTGCATTGCGCGCATTTTGCTGTTCAAGATGCACTTGCCATCGCCTTTCAATTAGAAAGGACACAGAGAGTTTCTGCATCCAGCTGCATCCTAATCCACTGCGTTAACATTTTTGTTTGGGAATGTTTTCAAATGTTACCAAAAATGTTTTGAAAGTTTTTGTTAACCGTCATCAGACGTCGTTGATGGTGGTGGGGGAAAAAGTGATTTTATTTGTACAAAATTGACGACACTCTTTGATTGCTCTTGGGTGTTGAGGGTGGAGGATATCCCACAAAGATCTCTGGGATGTCCTTTTTGAGAGCTGGGAGACATTGGGAAGCTAAGCCCCTTTGGACATCGGGCATCAATGATCAGGATAGATCAGCTAACAAATATCCCACGAACATCATTTTATTTTGGCGGTGTAGTACAACTGAATAGGAGTCAACTATAATAAAAAAAGAACAAAAAGTGATTGGAGTGGGATTCGAACCCACGCCCTTTCGGACCAGATTACATAAGCAATGCAAGTTGAACACCCTATTGGGTGCTAGTCCTTAGTCTGGCACCTTAGACCACTCGGCCATCCAACCATTTGCTTGTTTTTGTTTGGTTAGGATCCCATTCTGATTTACTGAGGTGGGGAGCAAAGCAAGAGATAAGTATGACAGATGACACCGAGATTGTGCCTGGCAACAAACTAACTGCATGCTTCCCTCACCAAATCTCTTAGTTATTTCACATGTAGATGCATTAGATATGTATTAATAGAACCAGGAGGATACCAGGGGAAAAAAAGAAATTCAAAATTCAGGTACATAGGGAGAATTCAGACCCATCACAATAGTATAATGGTGTTGCATCATCAGCTTCTGCTTCTCTTCTTTCATATCCCAACACCTTAGCCACTTCTTTACTACCATCCTCCCCACTGAAGGCTACTCTATTCTAAATATGGATGCAAATATATTTTGAAAATATTTGAAAATATTCTGTGAGTTTCCCTGGGCCAAAAAAAAGAAAAAAAGGGTCTGAACTTTTTTGGTTTAAACCGATTTTTTGACTTACAGCTAATAACAGTACTAAAGGCACGAACAAAAAAAATCCTGTTTTGGGATGTTTTTGATGCCTGCGACCGATTTGCCCATAGCTCAACAAGTATTGCATCAATTGACATAAAAAGTATATAGGAATGACCACCCAATCTATGTGCAATTAGTGATAGAGCTAAATTAGAAAAAAAATCATATCTTCAGGTGTCTTGAGAAACTAGGACTGCTGAGTGAGAATCTGTGCTAGCATGCCTAAATTACATCCAAATGAGTTGAAATTTTGGGAGGGAGTGTTTGTAACTACTCCAGTCAATGTAATAGAGCCAGAATTGCGCATAAGAAATTCCCTCAGCTTTGTAGCCCTCAATTGAACTGAAATTGGTATCAGAGGGCTACAAAGCTGAGGGGATTTCTTACACACAATTCTGGCTCTATGACATTGACTGGAGTAGTTACAAACACTCCCTCCCAAAATTTCAACTCATTTGGATGTAATTTAGGCATGCCAGCCCAAGACACCTGAAGATATGACTTCTTTTCTACTTTAGCTCTATCACTAATTGCGCATAGATTAGGTGGTCATTCCTATATACTTTTTATGTCAATTGATGCAATACTTGTTGAGCTATGGGCAAATTGGTTGCGGGCATCAAAAACATCCCAAAATGGGAATTTTTTCGTTCGTGCCTTCAGTACTGTTATGTCTATATGGCTTCCAGAGGGTGGTTTAAACCATGGCTATCGTTGGAGATGATGTGGTTTAAACCTAAACCATGCTGTTGCTGACAACCTAGGTGTGGCACAGTCCGCAGTGGGACCTGCAGACCTCCATTTCAACTTGACTTGTGATCCATTGGCTCAATGTAAAATATAGCACTGGGCCCAGCATGCCCTCAAAAAAAAAAAAGAGTTCCAAGACATTGCACAAGCGCAAACCAAGTTTTTCGTGTTCACTTGAAGTCATCATCTGATCAAGGTGGAGTCCAGTAGGGGGGTATTTAATTGGACTCTGAATCAACTGCCAGTAGGCTGTACAGTGTGTCGTGAGTTATGACAGTCTGGTCAAAGTTCACAGAGCACTCCAGAAGACTCCAGATGAATCTTAGTAATGTATGTTTTATGCCAAGATCATTACCAAGAGGAATAAGTGACATAATGACTGTCACGTGATCCGAGGTTCGTAATAAATTGACCAGCTGACGCCCACAACATTCATGAACAATCCACCACCATGCAATACCAAGTCAACCTCAGCCCTCAGTACATAAGACCCAGAGCAATGGTAATTCCACAGTTAGTCAAAATTAAGGTGCCTGACTGAAGTTCAAAATCCTGGTGTAAAATCATTGATAAAGAATGATTACCTAAATAAATTTAGGACTCATAACACATCAAGCTGCATGCAGCTAGGTACAGGCCAACACTTGATGGTCACCATCAGATTCAATCAAGACAATACTCGCAAAGTTGCACTGAAAACTATGAATTGCTCCACAGTGAACAGCTGAATTCATGCCAGATGTGCAAGTGCTACAGAAATTCTCTGACTTGCCCTGGAACCCAATAGTGTATGTAGTCTTGCAGACCTCATTAGTCTGAGGTCCTTAAGCTGGAGAAGCAGGTGGAAATGAAAGTAAGGCCAGGGAAAGGGGGAAGTAAAGCATAGGATGATGCTGTGGACGTGGAAATCAATGCTGTCACAAGAACACAGGATAATGAGTCTTTGCACCAACTGCCAGTGGGCTGTAGGGATGAGGTGTGTCACAAGCCACGATGGTAGTCAATCACAGAGGTGGACACATATGATGTAGTGATGGTGAGAAGACCATAGTACCCAGAAAACCATGTCCATCACCATGCAAAACCAAGTGGTTGTGAGATAAAACCAGAAGATTGGTACTCCCATGTTTAGTCTAAATCTAAGTCTCTGAAATTTGTACAGAAAAGTAGGTAGAAAATGCTGATAAAGAACGATTACCTAAATAAATTTAGGACTTGTAACAGATTTGTGGATCATTGTTTGTACCACTACTCCATCATCATCAGATATATTATCCAAAATAGGTAACAAGGTTGATAGAGTGATAAATCTTGAAAGTCACTTGAAGCGAGTCTCTCGCAGACAGATGCTTGACTGTGAAGCTTGTACCTCACTTGTTAATGTCTGTTAGTGATCATGGGGGCTAGAAAGTATGCAGTGTTTGAAATTTCATTGTACAGTCATACCACACTGGTTTCTGCCACCTTGAGGATATGATACATTCCCAAATCACACCTATATCCTGGAATATATGATATCTGACTATTTCTGCATTTTATTTCCATCCTCGAAGCAAATTTTCGGTGCACAATTCTCTAGCTGGTCACTGAGCAGTCACAATGCCACTTCAATTTCTGTGCCTTTCCCTGAGCACTTGTGAAGCTGCATTGCAAATCTGAAGTGACAGATTCTCATAAGCACATATAAATCTCTTGCCTGTGCAAGATTCATATCAAAAGACATGTTTCTCAATGAACATATATTGCGATGATGTGTGTGCTTCGGGGCTTCAGCGGAGCTAAAAACAAAACTCCAACTCTCAGGAAAGCCATACAGGTTTTGCGGGGTGTGTCCTACTTCATCCACAGATCAACCAAAATGGGTGTAGGGTGACAGGAAGGATGGGTGTATATGGACAAGGGCGAAGCAAGATCTATACAAAGTGGACACACGGTACAACGGTGATAGGGCTGCTGAACTAACACACTATAAATGTATATATAGGAAAGTGTATAAGAAACCGCTATAACCAGCAGAATCTATATCACAACCCAACTAACACACCAACAATGCCTTTCAATAGCTGTTTTTATTGTAGGAGTCAGACAGCCAAGTATTAGGCGCGAAAGATATTTTATAGGATGAAAATGTATGTATAGGAACACGAACGGGAAAGTCAAACAAAGTCACCCGAGGGTTTCCAAGTCTTTATAGGGTTTTCTCTTTTAACGGGAGGACCGTGTAGTTTGGACACTGTAATGTCTCAACTGATAGCTTTGCTTATATAGGCCTTCTTAATCCAACGTTCTCAAAAGCAACCAATGTTCTGACTGCACAAAACCCTTATAGCTTATATTCTTATAGCTTATATAGGTCTCTGAGATCACTGCAATTGTAACTTCAAAAGCTTTATAGATTCTTTGTAGCAAAACCTCTAACTGAGTGTCTTTCATGTATCTGAGACTCTACAATTGGCCCTATAGGGAGACAACTACTACTGTAGTGGTTGCCAAAGTGGGGGGTTGCGTGAGCTACTGTAATCTAACGAAAACTCCTACCTATATACTATTTGGAAAGCTATAAATAAACAAATGATCGAGAACTAGGGTTTAGGGTATGTAAGATTTATAAGTAACAGTCATTATAGGCTTGGCAAAGAGGGCTTGGCGACTCCGTTATTCGCATGTGTTCCGTGTTTTCCTGTCCAGATAATCATATAGGATGCTCAAACTGAGCTCGGAGCTTCGTTCCGGGTCCTATAGGCTTGGATGCCACTGGGTTGCGGAGTCTAGACCGTCGCGAGAGATTCACTATTGGCCCTTCCTATACCATGTGTTTAACTCGGCTCTACGGCAATTCGGATGCAGGTTTTCCCTATAGTTCCCTTTATGGGTTCTGTAGTTCAAAGTGAACGGGTGCAATTCGGTAACCACCAGACTTCGAAAGTCCACCCTATATGTTCCGTATTGGATTTACTCGGTCGGCCGATCCCTATAATGTCATGACCTCATTGCACGTGCTCCTATAGATGCTACTCTGTGTTGTGTAGTCCATCTTGGATGTTGCGGAGAGTAAGATAATGATTATAGAGGCCCTCATTTGTAAAGGTACTGTCTATAGGACAATGTCTAGGTGCTCTTTGACCATGACTGAGTTTCCTATAGCCCATATGTCGGAGTCATACAGACTGTTAGGGATCCTGCTGTCTATAATACTCTTATAGGAATCGCAAAATAGCGTGTTTCAAGGCTGCGATTATAGACGGTGTATCAACGGACTGTGTATTGAGGCACTGGACGGTGAAGTGATAGCAAATGCTATACGTGTTGAAATAAAGGTGTCCACGTCCTTTACTCGGGATTTTAGCAGAAGACCCTCGCAAACGTGCAGGGGATTCATTCGAAATAATACCTATTTATATGTATGTGAACAGGAACAAATTTAGCCTAGTGTGGCGAATTAAACCAAGTAAAGTGTAAATGAGCGGTATAAGAACTGAAAGGTGCGGCGAATGGTTGAAGGACTGAATGGTCCTGACGCCGTGAAGAAATGCATCCAGGTCGCCATGTTGGTGACAGCGCGCTGGGTCTCGGAATTCCAACAATACGAAAGGGGGTGCTGAGAACGGAATGCGGCTATTACGAGCGGCAACGAAGATGGGGGTGAAGATGGCAAGGGTGAAGGACAAATGCAGCTATTACGAGCAGCGGCTAGACTGTGGCAAGTGCAGGTGGACTGCAGAGGGAGATGGCTTTAAAGTCTTGTTAAGACTGAGAGAGGG